GGGAAAGACCAAAGCAGAACGTGGGCAACAGCACCAGCTCAGTGGTCATGGGCAGGATCCCACTCCTTCCCTGTAACTGTAGCACCTGGACATCATGAGCAGCCAGCAATGATCTGAACTATTAAGAAGAGTATTATGTAAAAAACCTCATGTCATTTAGCAAGCAACCCCAAAGTGAAAAGGCAAAGAAGCTACAGAAAATAATTCTAACTTTTGGGCATTTATAGGACTGATGATTGTCATGGTAGGAAATGTAATTTGACTTATTTAAGAAATCATAACTCATTTCTACATCTATCATTCTTAACAATTGGACACATGGATGTGTGTGACTAGTTTACAAATATTTAATGAGTTTTTTTAAGATACACTCCATAACTGATCTGGGAAGCAAGTTGCCAAGGAGACTTCCACCTTGTAGAAGTTCCCAAAAATCCCCAAGCTCCATCAGCACTTTGTTAGCACTTTGCTGACCAAGCATGGACAAAACCAGAATAACACAGAGCACACATTCACCACCAGAACCAGATGGGGCCAGAGCCTCATGAATAATACATCCTCCTTGTTGGGGGCTGGTTTTCAAGCATGTAAGGACTACAATGTGATTATTCATGCTGCCATGACTCTTTTTTCCTTGACCAATCTCATGCATTAGTGGGAAGAGCTTGGTAAAACGAAGAGCCACGTACACCAATGGTGCAATTGTGCATGTGTGGAAACAGCTTCAGGAGGTGGCAGGCAGTTCAAGGAGGAATTACTGCAAATGACCCAAAACAAAGGCTTAGGCAAGAGGGATGGCCACACCAGACTTTTTATACCCTTTTTATGCTCCTTTGTATTCCTGTTGTGCTCTCTTCATGGCACCCTGTCCTGCTGGAGTTAAGAAAACAAAAAGTCGTCTTTACAATCGTCCCTAAACAGCAGCCAGTGCCTGCAAACACACCTGGCACTTGGGAAAAGCAGTGGAGACTTCCCAGCTGCACAGCCCCTCCCCTCAGCATGAGAAAAGCCAGTCGGACAGAAGCACAAGTTACAACCCAAGCTGGTCTTAAAATTGATGCTGAGCCCCCAGAACCTGGTTCTGTACCAGGTTTTGTATTTCAGGAGCAGGTTTATGGACACAACCTGCTGCTGCAGCCCCAGAGCAGCATGAAGACAACTGGCAGCTACGTTTTCCAGCAGGCAGTCTGTCAGGAAACTGCATCTGCCCTTCAGCTCTGCAGACTCTGAGCTGCAGTGGGTGTCAGGCAGCAGGGAGGCAGCCCAGTACAGGTCAGCACTCCTGCCTGCCACACCAGCTCCCTGCCAAACCTCACCCTGGGAACCAGCCCAGTCTCTAGGTTTGCACACACGAGCACTACACTCTGGACCATCTTCACCTTTGCAACACTGTGCACCACTCCAAAGTGATCCACAGTCAGCAGGGACTAGTGGGAGGTGTCCCTGCTCATGGCAGGGAGGTTGGAACCTGATGATCTTCAGGGTCCCTTCCAACCTTCACCTTCCCATGATCCTACAAATGCCTCCTCATACAACAACCACCATTGTGTCACAGCTCTCTCTGCAGCAGGAACTCCTCTCCAGACAGAAATGGCAAAGAAAGCATTCATGTGCTGTTAGAAATTCTGGGTCAACAAAGCTCCTACCAACAGGATCCCTGGTTACACACAGAGTTGGCAGCACTGGAATTACTCCAGCTCAAACACTGAAGGAAATGTGTTTTGCCTAAAATCTAACACCCTCCAGCCTGCAGCACAGATTTCTTCCAACACTCACAGTCACCTCACCTTTACTACAAGGAGAAGAAAAAAAAAAAAGCCAGCACAGCAAATAACACATCCAGAGTGTGCAAAGGCACTCAGGGATTTTTTTTTTTTTTGCTTTAATTATTCCACTAAATATCTAAAGTGACAGGTGAAAAGGCTGATTTTAACTACCAGAAAGCCAAGGGAAAAATTCATATGCACATTTTAAAAATGTCATATGCCTCAAAATGGAAAAAAAACCCCAACCCAACCTGTCACTAATGGAATATTTCCCCCAAAGAAAGAAATCTACAGAACCTTTTCAAAATAGTTAGGCCCATTTCTTGAGCTGCCAATCAGTGTCAGAGGCAAACTCCTCACTGAAATGGCTGAGGATGCTGAGCAGTCTAGGAATTCTTGCTGTCATTCTGCTATAACAAAAGAATGACAATTTGTCAAACTCTATCAATGTGATTAATGCCAAAGTGAGGATGGAAATTCCAGTAAATTCAGGTTAAAAGTGAAAATCCCTCAAATTACAAGCCAGTACCTTCAGCACAGCCAGAGGAACTGCCCAGTGACAGACATGAGGCAGCTACACAACAGAATAAGAATTTAAAATGACCACTCTAATAAAAATGGAAGTTCTGGGTTATCTTTACAGTAGCTGGAGAGAAATGGCTTCTCCAAAAGCCTGTTGCACTGTGTAGGAAAGAACAGCTCACAATTAATGCTTAAACCAGCAATGAAGATGCTGGGAGGGCTGGAGCAGCTCTGCTCTGGAGCCAGGCTGGGAGAGTTGGGGTGTTCAGCCTGGAGAAGAGAAGGCTCCAGGGAGACCTGAGAGCAGCTTCCAGTGCCTGAAGGGGCTCCAGGAAAGCTGGGGAGGGGCTTGGGACAAGAGCACGGAGGGATGGGATGAAGAGGAAGGGTTTCCAGCTGGAAGAGGGAGATTTAGGTTAGGCATCAGGAAGAAATTCTTCCCCATGAGGTTAGGAAAGCACTGGAAGAGGTTGCCCAGGGAAGCTGTGGCTGCCCCATCCCTGGCAGTGTTGAAGGGCAGGTTGGATGGGGCTTGGAGCAGCCTGGGCTGCTGGGAGGTGTCCCTGCCCATGGCAGGGGTGGGACTGGATGGTCTCTAAGGTCCCTTTCAACCCTCACCATTCTCTGATCTCTTCCACATTAAACACAGATTTCAGGGATACACCAGTCTCCAGGAAGGTGTGTATGTGCTCTCTTAGTGTCACTACCTGCTGCAGCTGGCTAGATCTCAACCAAAACCCACGTTCTGCCTTACAGCCTCCCTAGACTGAGGACAGGAACTCACCACCTTCTTGCTTGGCTTGCCCAGCTCCTCCTCCTCAGCCACACTTCATCATTGCACTTGTCAATTCAGCTTTGCTTTTTTGGATACTTTTCTGGTCCCTAAAAGCAAACACCTTTTCCCACCTCTTCCTCTTGAAGCTGCTGTTGTCCTCTGCAGCTCAGGCAAACTCACTGTCACCCCAAAAGAAGAAGCTGTTACTCCTGAGCACGTATCCTTCTGCTACTGCCTTTCACTTTGAGGATTCTCTCAAGAGCTACTGAGAATGCCCTCCAAAAAAACCTGAACTACAGGCTTAAACCCAAATCTCCAGTCTAAACCAGGTCAGGAAGGAAAGGGAGCCAGGGTTGGTTTCCCTTCTCTGAGGGAAAAAAGGTTTCCATCTATTTCACTCTCTACATGGAAAAGCAAACTGTACATCAGGTACCACTCATGTGGTAAGGCCACATAAAGGCTCAGGGCAAATTCCACATTCCTGC